GAAAATGGAGGACAAGCTAATAATAGCTGTTTGTGGCCACCCTGAGCTTTATGACGTTACTTCCCCAAATTATAAGCTTCGGACCAAGAAAGACCTGACGTGGAGGAGAGTGAGTGAGGAGGTCGGTCTGCCTGGTAAGTTCTGAAAATTGATTCCAACTATCGGCTGTACATTTCTATCAACAAAGTTAGCACTAGCATTAGCCCCAGTTAGCACAACCGATGTAGCTTGCTTTCCTGCTGGCGTACTTGTCTGATTTACTAGCGGTGTGAACACACTGTTACTCGCGCAAATGACTCGCGTGAATGTCGCGAGTGAAAACAAATATTCCAGCGGTCAAACTCGCGCAAGTAGAGCAAGGCGAATATTTTACTTGCGCCCGGTGTGAACACACTGTGAGGCATGAAACTCCAGGGCTGAAAATGAGTCCCACTCCGGCCCTGCCTCCAAATGTGTGTCGAGGCAACACACGTGAGACAAAGAACAGCTGCCAGAAGCAGGTTCATCCTCTAACCCATTCCGTTTGTTGGTTATTTACTTAAAAACTATGACTTTAGTTTCGTAATATTATGACTTTTTTCTCATTAAATTACGACTTTATTCTCATAATATTACAACTTTATTCTCATAATATTATAATTACGACTTTATTCTCATAATATTATGACTTTTTTCAGTTATGACTTTATTCTTGTAATATTACACATTTTTTTTCATAATATTATTATATTAAGTTTTTTCTCGTAATATTACGATTTTATTCTCGAAATCTCCGATTTTTTTTTTTCTTCAATGTGATCCTAATACTCCATCGTATGATTTTACTGTTTGGTTAAATATTATTTTGCATTTTTGTGTTTATTGAAAAACTATGAACATCCTGGGATGCAAGATTTTTTTCCCCTTTTTTCTTTTTTATTTATTTGTTCCAATCATGGCAATATTCAAAATCGTACAAACAAAAACAGCTATCAACTAAAACATATTCCATGACCGAAAAGGAGCAGGAAGAAGAAAATCTTATTTTACCTGCCCCTCCCTCAAGACAAAAATAAACAATAGAAACAGATGGTCTGCCCGATTACAGTTACTCTGTATTCAATATAACATTAACATGAAAACATAAATAAATTCACATACAATATAGAAACCTAACTATCAAGTTCATACAATGGGGTCCATGCCATTGGTTCGACAGCCCATTGGTTCGATATCCCATTAGTCCGACTGTCCGCGGTGCTGAACGGCTCGCGGCGGGTGTATGGTGCGCTGCGACCGGCTTGAGGCGGAGCAGGCTCACGGCTTATGAGTTTGTCACTTTCTTTTTCATTTTAACCCACACCATGATCTTTTCCTGACCCTAACCAAGTGGTTTTTGTGCCTAAACCTAACCAGACCGTAACCACAGGGCATCATGATGATTTCAGAACGGACTTCGGAACAATGAGTTTAACATGGTCGGAACAATGGGATGTCGAACCAATGGGCTGTCAAACCAATGGGCAGTTCCCCATACAATGCAACTATTCTTTCTTTAAGCATTTTTTAAAAACTGAAATATGTTCAAACAACTCTTTAAATCACCCTGTGAGGAATTCCACAACTTAACCCCAGCAACAGAAATACACATCTGCTTTAAAGGTGTTTGTGCAAATTGGTGCTTAAAATTAAATTTCCTGCAATGATCTTCATTATCAGAACTAAAAAATAAACAAATTTTGCAAAATTTTTTGGTAATACTTTACATCATGCCCTTAACATGACTGTGAGTGTCTGTAGTTTAACTGAATCCTCAAGTTTCAATAATCTTGATTCAATAAATAACCTGTTGGTATGTTCTTTATAACCCACATTACGAATTACTCTCACTGCTCTTTTCTGTAGTAAAAATAAAGGATTCATGTTAGTAGAGTATGTATTACCCCAGACTGCAGAACAGTAACTTAAATAAGGCAAAATCAGTGAGCAATATAAAATCCTCATTGCTTTATAATTTAACATATACTTAGCCTTATTCAGAACAAAAATCTTCTCACACACCTTTGATTTTACCTGAGCTATATGAGCTTTCCATGTCAATTTATCATCAATGCTCACACCTAAGAACCTAAATTCTGACACTTTGTTAACTAAAACTCCTTCTAAAGAATGTGATACATTAGCCTCCTTTCTTTGATGGCCAAAAATCATAAACTTCGTTTTGTTCCAATTTAGAGACAACTTATTTCCAGCAAACCATTTTTTTCAGTTTCAATTCAATTCAATTCAATTCAATTTTATTTATAAAGCCCAATATCACAAATTACAATTTGCCTCACAGGGCTTTACAGCATACGACATCCCTCTGTCCTTATGACCTTCGCAGCGGATAAGGAAAAACTCCCCAAAAAAACCCCTTTAACGGGGAAAAAAAACGGTAGAAACCTCAGGAAGAGCAACTGAGGAGGGATCCCTCTTCCAGGACGGACAGACGTGCAATAGATGTCGTACATTTCCTTTTCTGTACCTTTTGCAAGACTTTCTAAATCATCACCTAAACAAAAAAAAGTTGTGTCATCTGCAAACACAAACTGTAGTGATTTTGACACTTCACATATATCATTAATATATAAATTGAAAAGTTTAGGCCCCAAGACTGAACCTTGTGGGACTCACACCCCTCACCCCATATGAATGTAGTTTTGAAATAAGAATTTTATGGTCAATGGTATCAAACCCTTTTTTTAAATCAATAAAAACCCCAATTGTGTGTTTCTTGCTTTTTATTGCTGTGGAAATTTCTTCTGTTAACTTCATTAGAGCAAAGCTTGTGGACCGATTTATTTGAAAACCAAATTGACTCTCACTTAACAATTGATTTTTTTTCAATAAATAATCCAGTTTAATTACAAACAGTTTCTCCAGCACTTTAGAAAATTGTGACAATAATGATACCAGTCTATAATTAGTGAAACTATGTTTATCTCCTGCTTTAAAGAGTGGAATAACTTTTGCAATTTTCATTCTATTTGGAAAAATACCTGTACAAAAGGAAAGATTAAAAATGTAAGTTAAAGGTTTAATTATGCAGTCAATGTTTTTTTTTTTTTAACAATGATCATGTCAATCCCATCACTGTCTGTTGAAGTCTTATTTTTAAATTTCGTCACAATAGAAATTATTTCACTCTCATTCACTTCTCCAAGAAATATAGATTGCAATACTTTACTTTCCCCATTCCAGCCACCTTCTGCTTGTCCATTATCATGTTGTTTAATAGTTTTCGCAAGATTCGGCCCAACATTTACAAAAAGGAATTAAATTCATTCACCACTTCTTTCAGATTTTTTAGGACCACCTTGCTATCATTAATGTAAAAGCTAGGTTTACTTGTGGGAACTGGATTATTGGCAGTTACTTCATTCAGAATATTCCAGGTACTTTTAATGTCATTTTTATTTTCTAATAGCCTTTTATTATAATAATTCATTTTGGCTTGTCTTAGTATAACTGTAAACTTATTTTTATTTACTTTGTATTGCTTTTCAGATGCCTTGGTTCTAAGTTATAAAGTCTCTGTAAAGCTTATTTTTCTTCTTGCACGCGTTTTGCAAACTCTTTGTAATCCATGGTTTTTTACTATACTTGCCTTTTTGTTTATTTGTTATTAATGGAAATTGTTCGCCATACAGTAATAACAAGCGATTTAGAAATGATTCATATGCAGCGTTGACATCATCTACATAAACTCCTCTCCATTGTTCTCTAAGGAGGTCATTCCGAAATGTATTGATTGCATCAGCATTTCTTACCCTTACATATCTAGTACACATATCTTCCTCCTTTCTCTTTGTTATAAAATAAAGTGAAATCAATTCAAAACAACAAGGACAGATATGAGAATGGTGTCAGTTTTATCTAACTCTCTGCAAAGCAAATTGCACAATTGTTTCAAATCTGGATTAGCTTGTTGTAGTTTGTTCCAGCAGGGTCCTCATGTCCAACAGCACATCCTCCACAACTCGGGCCAAATATGCTGCATTTTTTTCTTTGTCAGTGTAGTAGGATTTAAAAGCAGACACAGTGAAATCAATGCGATTGTCCATAATACTATAGAGCACTTCGTATTTTTCAGGTTCATCTGGGCCATAACATGGTGAAACTCCATTGAATCGTAGTACCTGGTGAACAGGGACAGAATTGAAAATTCAGTTGTTAGTTAATGTTCTAGCACTGAGACCTCTGATGTGTGTTTCTGTGAAATATAGGGAATCTTATTTTTGGGCTAAGCAAGAATTAGCAACATCAGCAACATTCTCTAGGACATATTCTGTCAGAGTTAGTGTACAAATCAGGGGGGAACAACTGAGATGAGAGTTAAACATCATCAAGGCTAAGTACCGTTCCAATCCTTTCTACCCCACCCACTCCACAAACACCAAACACTTTGTCACAGGGGCCTGTAGAATTGTCAGTCAGACCCAGTTCATCTCTAGCTATGTCTTCTTGTGATCTTGGATAACACCAGAAAACACCTCAACCCCTGTAGCCCTGTCCTTGGCCTACTCCTCCACCCACACACCCAGACAATCCAGCAGAGGGGGTGGCACTTGTTTGCTTATCTCCCCTAAATGTAGATTTTTCCTCTACCTGCTTCCAAATTTCACTCCTTCTTTCAAAGTCAAAAGTCAAAGTTAAAGTGAACTTTATTGTGAATCAAAACCATACAATAAGCAATTGCACAGTAGAATGAAATTACGTTTCTCCGAACTCCAATGTGCTGGTTTGTAAATGAAACGTTGTGCTCTACTGCTCATCAGGTCCTCTCAAGGAATTCTTTGCAGAAGTAGACGTTGTCCTATCGAACATCCCTGATGATTCCTGCCTGCTTGTAGTTCTCTGTGACTTCAGCATCCAGACAGAGAAGTAAACATTTTACTCATTACCTTTCCTACTTTCTTTTCCTACTCAGTCTGATTTTTACCAGACAGTGCCCCACCACTAACCTTTCTGCTATGCCTCTTGCCTATCCCTTACTCTTTGACTCCCAAACATCTCTCATACTGTCTCTATGCACTGCAACTTTTGCTTCCTGCTTCCCTCCTGTCTCACTTCATCTGTCTCTCCCCTCACGTGACTCCTTTCCACTCATACCTCTAAACTCTGCCACAGACACTCTCTATCCTTTTCATCTCTCAGCAGGCTCACCTGACCTCTCCAGCTCTGTGGCTGTCTCTGTGTGCATACTGACAGATCAACCCAATAGGTAGCTGAAAGACTGTGAGAAATCTATTGCAGAGTATAAAGTAACAGGCTATCTTTAGTTGCAGTATTGTGGTATTTTCATTTTTATGTCACAGTTTCAATACTTACATAACTTGTACCAAGTTTGCAGTCAAAGACTTTAAAAAGGGAGGGGTCTGTGAAGATTTTGGGCAAGGGGATGTTTTCTTCCTCAGCCTGCAACCTCAGACCATAGAGGTGGCAAGACACGTCCTGGCCTCTAAATGCCTATTGGAAAAAAGTAAATGCAGTTGTTTACAAAATCGATCACCATATTTAGTATTAAAGGTACCCTGGCAATTTTACATGTAAACAAAGCTTCTCTTTCCATCACTTTTTTTTCTCCAAAACTCATTGTTTGCGATTAAGTTATAACAAATATGTTAAAGGGACATTGTGTAACATTTTCAGTTGTTTATTGGCAAAAATTGATGTCTGCATTCATAATTATGTCATCACTGGTGTACTATTACCTCCACCAATAATTTGACTTATTCTCGTAAAAGGAGAATTTCGGATTGTTTGTACATTGTGCGGGTAAGTCGTCTGTGGGGTTCCATTACGTTTCGCCATCTTGAGAATACACCCGCCAGCAAGAGACATACAGCACCGCCTTCGGCGTTTTCGTTGAGAGCCAGGCCAGCACTGCGTACTGAGGAGCCAAAGGAGAGGAGCAAGAGGCGCTTCGCTACTACCCTGGCAAATTTGAAACAAAGTCCCACTCTTTGAGCATAATGCAGGATCATGCATATGCAGCATCATGGGAGACGGAATCCTTGTCGCCAAGAAAGCGCAAAAGGGAATAGAAAAGTGACTGGCGAATTAAAAAAACGAAGGCCCACATCGGGGTAGCCTTTCCCAGGTAGAGAGAGCTGCTGAGGGAGAATGGTAATGCAATCACAGGCCAGCGCTAACAGTGGCGCAGTGATGCGAGGAGAGGGATGAGGCTGTTAGCGACTGGCCGCTAACAGCGGCTAACAGCGGCGCAGTGATGCAAGGAGAGGGATGAGGCTGTTAGCGACTGGCCGCTAACAGCGGCTAACAGCCAACAGCGGCGCTGGCCTGTGATAGCATTACCATTCTCCCTCCCCTCAGCTCTCTACCTGGGAAAGGCTACCCCGATGTGGGCCTTCGTTTTTTTAATTTGCCGGTCGCTAACAGCCTCATCCCTCTCCTCGCATCACTGCGCCGCTGTTAGCTGTTAGCCGCTGTTAGCGCTGGCCTGTGATTGTATTACCTTTCTCCTTCAGCAGCTCTCTCCACCTGGGAAAGGCAACCCCAATGCTGACCCTTGTGTTTTTTAATTCGCCGGTCACGCTGCCTTTTTGATTCCCTTTTGCACTTTCTTGGCGACGAGGATTCCGTCTCCCGTGATGCTGCATAATACATGATCCTGCATTATGCTCAAAGAGTGGGACTTTGTTATGTGGCAGTAGTGCTGCTGGCCGCTAACAGCTGTTAGCGGCGCAGTAATGCAAGGAGAGGGATGAGGTGTGTGAGGTTGAGCCACTTGTCAGTTGTCAAAAGACAAGACGTGATCGGTTTGTTTCAATTTACATCCGCCCCAACAGTCCTACGTTGTAAACACAGCCAGCATGGTGAGGAGGGGGTTTGTCAACTCGTGTCGCGTGTGTCTGTGTAGGAGCCTGAATGAATAGTCCATGTAGTATCGGATGACATGATTTCATCACTGTTATCATAGCTTTTTGGTACACAGCGGCTACAGTTGTTGCAATACGTGTTTGAAACAGTGAGGCGCTAGAGTGCGCCATCTGTTTGAATACAATATATGATTTCAACGTTAGATGGGAGAAATTCCTACACACTGTGGTTTTAAGTGCAATTCCTTACTCCTAACCCTCAATTTCCACATACTCTGTCTGCGCCACGCAGTGAATAGCTTCATTTCCACAGCGAGCGCCGCGCAGTGTCTCTGGAGCGTCCCAGAAGCACCACGGCACTCTGCTTAGTCAGAGATACGCGCCAGGTCTATTTTTCAGCGACTGTGCGTCCATTGCACATCAAGCCATGTAGCTCAGATTGCACCAAACCGGAAACGGAGCGCACACAGCATCCGGTAAATTTCAAAATACAACACAATGCACGGACTACGGATTGTAAACTCTCAATTTTTTGAAAATCGTGAAGTAGCCTAATGTTGATGTGAACAGCAAGGCAATCTCAAGCTAAACTTGTTTTCTCTCTTTCTCCTTCTGAATGAACAATTCTTTTGGTCTGGCTCACACTCTATCAAGTGATTTTTATGCTGTAATTTCACAGTTCCCACATGAGCTTGTGGCTCCGCTATACGGTGCGGCGCTCCAGAAACACATCCAGTAGGCGAGGCTACGCGCTGTCGGTCACTCCAGATTCACAGCGCAAACGGAGTATGTGGAAATTGAGGGTAAAACACTGATTTTTCCTCAAAGTTTGGAAAGTGCGCTGTATACAATCATGTCAGCCTTGTGTTCAAGAATGAACGACATGGTGACCCACATGTACAGCATTGCTCCATAGCACTAATAATGGTCAAAAACTTCACAGGGTATCTTCGAGCTCCATAGGAAGAAACTGACTTTCTGAGACCCCTTTCTGAGACCCCTCAGTTGACCCCTCTTTGTGTGTGTGTGTGTGTGTGTGTGTGTGTGTGTGTGTGTGTGTAAGGAGGTTAGGATTTTGGTCCCCAGAAGTTACAGTTACACTATGTCAAGTGGTTCCTTCCTTCCAGTGAAGATTTCTGTGACAGTTCAGGTAGCTGCGAATCCAGACCCAGGGTAAGTCTGAGTGAGACAGCAGCAGCTGCCCAGAGGAAGAGAAGCTCTGCCCTATCAGGTTCAGAGATAACGTTATCTTCTACTTTCTGCTCAGAGGAGGGCTATTTACAGCTCACAGCAACTAAACACTGTGTATTCTGGCTTTTGTTTTATATGTAGTGTTGTTGTAATAATGTTGTTAATGTTGTTAGCAAATTTACAATCATGACATGGCTTGTGTTTTATATTTCATGAACATTGCTGTCACCTTGAACATCCTGCCAAACCCTGTTCAAAATAAACAAGAAAACATTTTGTAACTGCTTTTCCCCATGTATTGTTGTCCATGAAGTTTTGTAGTCATTCATGGTGACATGTACTATTAGAAGTTCTCAGGAGTCAATACCACATATAAACAATATCCTCCTCATAAAAAAAACACACACACACACACACACATGCATAGATGCACAAGCACACACACACACACACACGCGCGCACACACACACACACACACACACACACACACACACCTTTTTTAACTTTTTTTTTATGGATTATGCAAAGATATAATGGAATCTATAGACTAGCGGAATTATGTTATCTGTTTTTAGAACATGGAGTATAGACACTCCCTTTGATAATTAGCCAAGTGTGGCAGTTGATGTAATGTGAGCTGAATCTACAGGTATATAAGGAACTGTCATTAATCATCATTCTTTTGGTTTGTTGACATGTGTTTTCTTCTTTTTTCCCCCCTTTTTTGACTGCTGAGTGACAGTAAATTGTTTTTCATGTCTTTTATTTTTTGTCGACCCTGGCTCATTCCAAAGGACAAGAACAAAGCAAATATGTTGTTTGAGAGTGCTCTAATAAAATCCTAACAACAGTTCTATCTCATTCAGGGTCTGCCCTCTACTGGATTCTATGGGTAACACTCTCCTCCAATCACAAACATGTATTCTCCTACTGAAGTTTGCATAAACGTAGATGGCCAATCAGGACAGCCTACCAGAATACGTGTGGACCACACAGTATATACGAAAGTACCACAACATGCATCATCATCCCTTTTCTCTTCAACAAAGGCAATTTTCCCACCGATGAGCTTTGTTGATGGAGTTGCCGCCTCAGGAACCTTATCAGTGCCTCAGCATAGACCACACAGAGAGCGATAATTAGCAGCCACCAGCCTGCCTGACTGCCAGGCACCGCTCAAGTTAAGACACCAGAAGTGGTGGGATCACTTCAGGCGCTGTGACATGGTGCTTCGCTTGCATTATAGTAAGCAAAGGCTCAAGAACATTAACATCAAGATCCCCACTCCAACCACCAAAACCCCGCTGCAGGCTCTGGGCATCCCTGCTGAGACAGCTTCTTTGTAGATAATAACAATATGGCACCTTTGGTTAACATATCCAACCTTTGGTTAACAATTTAGTTGTGGTGAGAATCAAGCAAGTCAAGTCAAGTCCCTGCTATAAGTCAAGCAAGTCAAGTCAAGTCATATGTCACATACAGCAAACATCTCTTCACGATCTGCTAGCTACATGTGAAAAAGTCTGGTCTCTGTAGGCAGCCCAGGCTCCACAAATGGCAACGAAAACATTTGGGTCCAGGCTGCACCAACCAGCCAGCGCGGGACCAGCGAAAGCAAGCACACACACATGAATGTGGTGCCCATGTCTCACAGTCTCGCGCAAGCGCGCACACGTGAACGCGGTGCCTAGAGAGGCAGTTAGAGCTACAGGCTACAATGAGGCTAAAAACAGTTCAAACAGGGCTGCACGCTAACCTTTTTCACTAGGAGCACCTAGTAAAAAAGGTTTGCAGCACAGAAAGAAATGTAGGAGCACAGTGAAAATTTTAAATAACACATTTAATAGGAAAACAACAAAATACAAAGGATCCTCTGGAGCCACCCTCTCCTCCATCATGTGTGTGGTAAGGGCCCAGCACACACACACACAGGGCTACACTGGGCCTACTGCTCTACTATTAGACACAAAGGATGTCTTTAGTCCACTGGATTTGTATTTGGGTCGCCTGGCACGCTTAGCTGATTTTATCGAATGAACTCAGCTAAATTTTAAAAATCTAATTCATGGCGAAGGGTCATGCATTTTCCACCAGTCACTTCGAAAAGCTCAAGGAAAAATATTTGTGGCTACAGGGGGGATCAAAATAAATAAATTAAATAAAAATCAACCAGCCACCCTCCTCCTCTGATAAGTTAAGAACAGTCCCTTATCAGTGCATAAACCACACGCATCATGCAGCCCAGTTGGTATATTTTAGTACATTTCCAAATAGACCCATAGTGGGCTGGGTGCTAACAGTCAGTGGAGCATGACACCAACGAAGAGAAAATTATTGGACCTGGAGCCGGGTCTTCTCGGTCGCTGGTAAACTGTCATCTTGCGGTGGCCAGAGTGCTCCGCCATATTCCTGTCTGTGACCCCCATTCAACCCACAACTGTCAGGATTCGCCTTTCGTTTCTGCTGCTGGTTGAAATCTGTACTCACATTGCATGCTCCTGAATGATTTCTTTTGCTCGCACAAAACTATTTTTAGTCACAAATGCGAGTAAAATGCTCGCACAGTAGAGCTCTGTCAAATGACATTTTTCCAAACAACTTTTTATGTCGGGGCTTCAGGACACTTGGATCACTACAGATGAGCAGTATGGAGATATTTTGTGGTTTCAATTATGTGTTTTTGGACATTTGAATCTGGGGCGCCGTAAGTCTCCATTAAGTGGAGTTGTGTTGCTACCCCCTCTCCCCTTGAAGTGTTGTGAGGAGTCTAAAACTTCACCTGAGACTCCATCGGCATGAGGGTGAGTAGATAATGGCTGAATTGGGTGCACTATCCCTTGAACAGGTGTGTAAATCCAGGGTAACTAGCAGCTATCGCTTGTTCATGACAGAGTCACGGAGGACGGGGGGGGGGGGGGGGCGAGCTAGCTCTGTTGTGTTTGATAACATTGTTGAACGTAAACAGAAGTGACACCCAACGGTGCTTGGCGTGCCTTTAATATTGAATTAAAGCCAAGTCCTTTCGAGTCATCTGTCTCAAGTCAAAGTCAAGTCTCAAGTCATGAATACAAAGTCAAAGTCAAGTCGAGTCGTTTATCAACGTTAGTCAAGGAAGTCTCAAGTCATCATATTTGCGACTCGAGTCTGACTCGAGTCTAGTCATGTGACTCGAGTCCCCCATCTCTCGTGTGCACACACAGTGTTCCCTAAGCATCTGTGTGGAATGCTCCCTCCTGATCTCCATGGGAGACAAGAGATTTAAATACAGTGACAGACTGTCAGCTGCATGTCCAACAGCAGTGATGGATTCAAAGACTTCACTACATCTCAGATCTTTCCATGTTTGGGTAACTTTACATGCAGCACCTTGCCAGCCTTTGTTTAGATGCCAAAATGCACAAGTGATGCTTGGTTACCATTCCCCCTCAGTGCATTCTGACCTGTGATACTAAGGGTCTCCACAACACCTGTTGCAGGGAACATCATTGGGATGAGAGACCACGTACATCATGGTGTTCACAGACAAGTCCCAGAGGGTTGCTTAAGGAGAGTGGTAGGTGGTGTGTGGCCTTTGATGGGGATCTTACACCTTAACCTCCTCAAGCTACAGGCAGCGTTTTTGGTCCTCCAACACTTTATGCCCCTCACACAAGCAGGGCACGTGTTGGCGAAGACCAACAACTACACCACGGTGGCCTACATTAACAGGCAGGGCGGAGTTTCATCCACTGCCCATTTGAGGATGGCGGAGAGCCTGTGGTTTTGGGCATTAGAGCACCTCTTGTCTCTGAAGGTCCTCCATGTTGCAGGACTGTAGAACAGGGGTGCCGACATCATGTCGAAGGGCACACCCATACCAGTCAAGTGGAGGCTTCACTGTGAGGTGGTGAAGCAGTGTAGAACCAGTTCGGAAAAGTGAAAGTGAATTTGTTTGCCAGCTGGCACTACATCCAATGGAGACTATGGTTCTTCCTGGCGCTGCAAGACAATCTGCTGCTCAGCTTCGGTGGCCTAGGTTATAAAGAAGTAGGCAGGCCACAGCAACTTGAGACTTCCTTGACTAACGTCAGTCAGGATCAGTTTGGCCGGGTTAATGTTGCAACAATGCATTCCTTCACTGGGCTCCACCCACTGTACCCAAAGTGTAGTAGGGGGTGGAGCCTGTGTGAAATTGAACATAGGTGAAGATATGTAACCATTAACAAGGGGGCCTGTTGCTCCCTTGTCGCTCACTGAAGAAGGTGTAGGATGAAAAAGGATCAGGGATAGCATTGTGGTACTCCCTTATACTGTGTGGTCTGCATGTATTTGAGAAGGCACGTCCTGATTGGCTGGCTACATTTATGCAAAGAATACCTTACATCGACAATAATCTGGACATACACTAAAATGAAGTATTGCGTGGTGCTGTGAATGGTACTCACCATGTCAGTGTACCATGCATGTGACTCTAAAGCTTTTTCCAATAAATGAACTTTCTCTGGGTTCTGTGCAAAACAGGAAAACAGTAATGTTACAAACCATCACATATAGTTGGTTGGTGTTTTTAAGTGTGATTGCTATGCATCAAAAGTATGATCTTGAGCAATCTATTCTTTTCAACACATTATTATTCATTACATTGAGTAAGATAGAGTTATATAAGTTGCATAAAAAGTTCCCCTGCATTTTGACCTGTATTTTGGAGTCATCAAAGGCCTTAACAAAGGCAGCTGAGGCAGGCGAGTTTGTATTCATCATACTGATACGTCCTAGTTTGAACGCACGCAGGGAGACATATTCCAGTGATGGACAGATCTGCTGGTACATCCTGATAAAAGAAAGAAGAGATTTTTTTTCAGCAAACTCTTCTGTTCCAACATACACAGCCCTGAAACTTGTTGATCAGTCAAACAAATACTGGAGCTCTGCAAACACTCTTATTAACTATCCAGTGTTATTTGCTAAGAGATTTTGATTATCCATTGCTATACAAGTTTCTGGCTGATGAAAAAATGTACTCCCTGTGACTTAGTTTGCTTCTCGATCACAAATGCAAACATTTTAAATACAACCAAAAAGCTTTTAAAAACTGGAGCAATCGATTTCAGCTCAGTTTTCCAAGATTCCCTGTTACTGCCTGACTGTATAATCAAGGTATTTTTAATGCAATCTTTGCAGCTCTCTTGTTCCCCTTGGTTTATAAAGCAAAGAGTGAAATGTTTGCATACAAAGACAGTCAATCTACATGAGTTTTCAGCACCTCACCTGTAGTAAGCTAGCTTTAGCGCCAACTGTACGAAAGCATTGGGGCGCATCTTGTGAGCCTTTATGAAGTTTTTCCCAAAGTGGTCAAATCCCGTACAGCTCAGATCCAGATCGTCAGCCAGTCTGTGGTGGAGAAAATGAGACATGTCTGAACAGTGAGACTTTCCTTGGGTAGTTTGACAGATGTTTTTAGAAGTATTTCACAGCATAATGCCAATTGATTTTTAGAAGTTACGTATAATAAACATTTCTTTATTCTGAGATACCACACTTCTGCAGCATTAGTTTTGTACATGTTAGACTAAATTTTCTGCTCTCTCTGGCCCAATTTAAACTCTGGGTGTATAGCACATTGGACTTTCATGTAGAGGTTTGTGTGCCTGCCACAGATCTGCAATTAACATTTGTCTTTTTAGCACTGTAGTTGCCTAACACTGACAATAATTTGAACACAGTTTATTTGTGCATGATCTTTTAGTGGAAGATACTGTAAAAATATTTTTTTAAGTGTTGACCTTAGATGTAAAAAATCATTAGATATAATACAGGCTTAGGCTCACAGGTCACATTTGAAGCCCTTTTTCTGTAGCCTATATATTTAATTGTGAAAATGGAGTTGCTGCTGCATGCAGCTGTTTACATAGCAACACAGAGAAATGGAAAAGACTTCATGTTCCTCTTGGTTTCTCTTGTTCTGGTCCCTGGGTGTCTCTGTAACTATCCCAATTAAAAGCTGCTCTCACGCGTCCATGTGCTGCTTGGCCTCCTCAATGTCCTTCTTGATCTCAGGTGTGAGGTTGAAGTGTAATTTCTGGGGAACGGGTAAAGGCTTCATGGGACACTGCATCTGCACGTCTGGCTTTTTTCTGTTTCCACACACAAGAGAAAATCAATCAATCAATCAAACACATGAAATTATACAAAACACAATTTTAGTCAAATGGAATTTGTCAGTTTATTAATTTGTACATTAAATAAAAGGACTGTAATAATTCATATAAGAATATAATATTGGGCCATCTTAGGCAGGGGCATTTATGATCCTTGTAGCCTAAGGGTTGAAGCTCTTCCTGAACCTCTCAGTGCCTGCCTGGTGTATCTGGTTCCTTCTTCCAGATCTCAACAGTGAGAAAAGGCAGTGTTCCGGGTGGCTGGGATCTTCAATGATTCTCATAGCTTTATTCTTGCAGCCCCTGGTGTAAACAGCCTTTAGGAGGGGTAAAGTAGTGCCTATTTTTTGTTAGCTGAACAATCCACTGTTTGTAGGGCCTTGTGGACCTGTTCAGTGCTGTTTCCTTACTAAGTAGTGATGATCCTCATCAGGATACTCTCAATAGCGCAGGAGTAGAAATTCCTCTGTATTTGATGGAATACCCACAATTTCCTTAGGCGTCTAAGGTAAAACAGTCTCTGCCTTGCCTTTCTCACCACTGAATCAGTGTGCAATGCCCAGGTCAGGCATTGTGGACACCAAGATACTTGCTTCTGGCCAAAGGCCTCTCTTAGCTCCTTAGTCTTGGCGACGTTCAGGAGTAGCTTGTTGCCCTGACACCAGTGTGTCAGGTCCTCTATTTCTTTCAGATGGGCCTTTTCATTGGTATCTGTGATCAGGTCAACCACAGCTGTGTCATCAGCAAACTTGATGATGGCGTTGGAGTCAAAAGTGGCTACACAGTTGTGTGTGTACAGCATTGAGTGAATACAGTAGGGGACCTAGCCCTGGGGTTCTCCGGTGTTAAGGATGAGGGTGGAAGAGGTGTGTCTGCCAATTCTAACCATCTAGGGTCTGCTGTAACAAAGTCCGGGATCCACATGCACAGTGAGGTGTTCAATCCCAGCAATGCAGTTTGAAGTCTAGGCTAAGAGGCAGGTGAGAATAGCGTGCTGTATAAAAATGATGAAGAACTCTTACATCGGCGTAAAACCATTCAGCTATATGGACCCTATGTGGGTTAACTTTCATACCAAGGGGTCAAGGGGTTGAAAACCTCATTTACATTGGGCCTCCGGCTCAGGCCTCAGCTAGAAAATTACATGCCCAAAATTAAATTAGTAGTTCTCTGCAACTTCAAGTTCTTTATTAATAATCTTGGGAGGTTTACTGCAGAGAAGGAAGCAGATGTTAGCGGGTCAGATTCAATTAAGTGAAAGGAAAGCTATTGGAAGTGCTGCCAGCGTGCACTGTGTTGAGCACGTAAGCCAAGCCTTTTTTTTATGGAGCTGTTTTTTTTGTGTGTGTGTGCTTTTGTTTGTTTGTTTTGTTTTTATGTGCACAACTCAGTGACCCTTTCACAACAAACCGTGAAAACAAAAAATGAGTACAGTCTATTAAAAAAGGGTTGTGACAACCTTCCTGCTTTAGCAGTACCTGCTGGGTGTGTTTTCCCCTTGTATGTCTGTACCTCTGTTGTCTTGCAGGCCCTAGTAGGCAGAGTTAGTAAGTGCAACTGGGAGCACCTGCCCAATCAGCTTATTTAAGAGCTGGCTGTTGCTGTTAAGTAATAATTTTTTCACCACAGTGTGTCCCAACTTTTGTCATTGATTATGAGCCAGGTAATGACAGGATAAAAATGAATACCTAATTGTACCAGAGGAAATGCGAAGCAGCATCACAACCTTGTATGTGTTTCTATATTTAACCTAAATATAAATCGATCAAATCAAATGTCCTGTTGTTAAAACAACCTGGTGGATTAATTCAGTACAAATGAATATAGTCCGCGCTTCCTAACCCTGCATAACCCACTGCATCAACACTTGGTAAAATTCAATATTCGCATAGTGAAGCTGGCAGCAACCTCATGCTGCAAATAGCAGGTAAAAAATCCTCACTCCACCTATGTTACACGTTGTGTCCTTGACCGATGTACTTCGACTGTAATACTAAATCTAAGACAGCTGCCAAAATGAACACTGGAAGGTGTGCCCCAGTACCTCCAACAATTATAGACCAGTGCTATTTGTATGAACAGAAGCCATATGGGTGGATGAACAAAGACAGCAATCATTCCACCTATCCATGCTACAGCAGGATGCCTCATTACTGAACTTTTAATCATCAAAACAACAAATCAGAACACCTACACTTACAAAAACATGTTTATTTATGGTCTACTTACATGTCTGTTATTAACTTCGCACAAATGGATGAGTGGACTACACCATCAGCAACTGTACATGAGAAGTTTGCACCACATGTCCCATCTTCTCCAATAATTATCTGAAAAAAAGAAAAAAAATGGTAAGTGTCTTCTCACATCAGGAATTTTGGAATAACTGTTTAGCTTCTCACAAAAATTAATCCTGCTGTTGTGTCACACTGTTAAGTGAAACTGTCAAATCTCTGTTGTCTACCCAATTTGGATTTTCCAGTTCTGTCTTATACTTGGGTCCTTGCCATTTCTAACTTCACTGTCAGTGGATAAAGATAAACATTCTTCATAACTTAGGATATCACCAGCTGTAGTGGGTATTGCTAGTGCAGTGACAAAGACCTGATCATTCCTCAGTTTTAACACGTGTAAACACATCCTGTCTGGTTTTGTTTGCGCTTGCTGGTTGCCCAGTACTGACCTCTGCTTTAAAAACTGAACAAGTATACATTTTTTTAACTTCACTGGATCTGACACTGTTTTGGTAAGCCTGTACTGCTACACTCAAAGAATTACAAGGGGGGCAGTGCGCTCTTTAACTCTTGCTTTTACTTATTTCCCATTCTTGTCTGTACAAGCTGTGCAACAAGCTTGTTGCCAATATCCAGCAACTTCACACAGCCATTGAAAAACAGAGGGTGAACATTCCACAGGTCTGCAAATTTTAGAGTGGCCTTTTACTGTGACCATCCCAAGGCACACCTAAGCTTTAAGTTACTGTTTAATCAGCATCTTGGTATACACACCTGTCAGGTGGATAGATTATCTTGGAAAGGGAGAAGTGCTCATTAACACCGATTTTAAGAAAATAGGCAACCAAAATTTGGGAGAAATATATCCATTGAGTTCATTTAAAAAGTCTTTGATCTTTAAGTTAAACTTGAAAAATGGGAGCAGAAACAAAATGTTGCATTTAAATTTTTTTCAGCACAGTTTTGCTCTTATTAAACCTTGTCCCTAGTCAGTCAATAAATCAATATGTCAGCTATTTTCCATGGAGGGATTTTATTTTGAAAAATAAGCTTTGTCTGGCCCCCCAGTAAACCATGGTCACCATCTGGGAGCTTTTATTTTGAAAACCCAGCCAACACCATAGCCACCAATGTGAGTTCCTGTTACCTGATTGGTGCATTACCCAGAGAAGTTTAGAGCTGAGAGATAAATTTAGAAAAGCTGGAAGCTGAATTGTGATGTGGTCAAAGCTGGAAACTGAGATAAATTGTCCAAGCGGGCGGAAAGAAGAATTGCTTTGTAATAATATCACTGCCATTATAAGAAATGATGAGCACAATTTTGTTTTTTAAAAAAAGTATATATGTAGAAAAAATATTTAGAAAAAGGTGAGAGCAAGAGAGAGAGAGATAGAAATATATTCAGTAAAGGTCTTCTGGCTGTTGTTGGATTCTTGTAAATTGTCACACCTACAGTGTGTTTTTCTGATTACTGATATTGGTACCCAGTACTTGTGCCAGAAAGACAGTTAAGTTGTGTATAATTTTCATGTGTGTTATATCACCTGAAGCCCCTTGTCAAACCAGCGATTTCCACTGTACCACTGGCTGCCTCCTCCATGTAGGATCTGACGATGAGCACTGATGCGATACATCTCATTAGACTCTGAGGGCATCGCTCCATCCAGACACACTGTAAAGATGCTGCTTTGGATAGCCAACACTGACTCTTTGTTGGTCTCATCTAAACACAGCAAGGACATGCACACAGAGCAAACATTATGTTATAAGACTACAACAGTCGACAAATCAGTCATAGATATTTTCACAATATATACTTAAAACTGTTTTTTTTAGTTAAGACAAGCATGATCTGATGTATGATGTTCTATCTAATGCTAGTGCTAGTGCTAGTGAAGCAAAGTCAAATAATCTGCATGCTGTTTTTCATCTCTAGCTTGTTGGCTTGTTGGGCGTGAAACATGATGCTTGAAAAAAAATAAAAATATGATATGATGATATGTGTGTGTGTGTGTGTGTGTGTGTGTGTATGAGGGGTCAAACGTATCAGCGAACACACACACACACTGCATTCACTGTGTACTTATACGTGTAAATTGCGTGTGCAACCATCACCGTGTACTTGTTACACATGCAATGTGCGTGCAATGCCTGCACACGCCTAGATGTGTGGTTATTAGACATGCGTGCGTAGACACGTCATGTAATCAGAGGGGTCAAAAGTGTCAGCTGTTGAAGCAACAACGCATCGTGCTACGGACATGTGACACGTAGCATCGCTATGCTAACTAGCTTGCTATGCTAATCAGATGTGCATGCGTAGACACGTCATGTAATCAGAGGGGTCAAAAGTGTCAGCTGTTGAAGCAACAACGCGTCGTGTTATGGACATGTGACACATAGCATCGCTATGCTAACTCTTCTAATCAGATGTGTGTGCGTAGACACGTCATGTATCACAGGGGTCAAAAGTGTCAACTCTTGAAGCAACAACGAGTCGTGTTACGGACGTGTGACACGTAGCATCATTCGGACGTGCGTGCATAGACACGCAGGTGTAGTGTATGTGTAGCGTTTGTAACGCGCTGTGCACGCATACTGATAAGACGTGTGAGCGTCTGCTGTCAGTCACAATCACTACCTGATTCCTTTTCCATGGCGACAAGAAAAAACACAGATCCCAAAAACTCGATATCACAAACCACCAGCAAAGATAGTCATAATGATAAAATGTCAACTTCTTTTGCATTACAAAGAAGCAGCAAACAGGGTTGTCCACTCCCTGCCCAGCTATTTGTCCTAGCATTAAAGCAGCTGGCACAAGCAGTAAGACCAGACCCAGATATAAAAGACATTCAAGTAGATCAATTAACTCACGCAATCAGCCTATTCAGTGACTGTATCATTTATATCCTAAGGACCCAGCCCAATCAGTTATCAAGTTACAAACTCTCCGAACAATTATAGCAAAATGTCCAGCAACAAGATGAACTAGGAAAGGAGTGAATTACTCCTTCCGACTAAATTCGATCACAGAGCTCTTTACTCTGGCATCTCTCCATTTAATGCATGTGGAAAGGTCATGTTTGTATGTGTGTGTATTCTGGGCCTGTGTGTGTGCAATGTGTACAATAACAGGGGCCCGGTTTACATCTGGTATTAACATGCGTTCTAGGTGATTGGAACATAAGTGGTCAGCTCTAAGTACAGGCGCGAATGCACCAAATGCGTCCTGAATGTCCTGGGGCAAGGAGGGGCTGCTAATCAATACACAGCAGGCAGCTCTACAATTAAGATTTTACTCATTATTAATAATAAAGGCACCAAGTGTGCGTATAGCACAACAAACCTCCCGTCGGTTAAAAAAAAAGAACATATTTGGTTGTTGCAAATGGAAATGATTAATGTGGCTATTTGCATATTGAGCAGGGGAGTGAGATTCAATCACAAGTGGCCACTTAAAACACATGTGGAGACACATTCCAATGCCAGGTGACAGACTTGAAGCTGTCCACTTGTGTTGGGATCACCAAGGATGCATGATAATACCAGGTGAAAACAGCCTCAAAGTTCAGTAGTTCTACAGTATGACTTGCATTATAACAGAGTTGTTCTCACCCTTGATGAGGTTGTTGTAGGTTTTGCTCCAGTTGTCACGACGCTGGGTGGTGAGGATTCCAACAGGCTCCATGTTGGTCTGTAGTGAGGAGTTGCAGATCCTCTCCAGCTGAACACAGAGCTGATCAACTGTCAGTGGACTCCCATCACTGTTGTATGCTTCCATCACAAAGAACTGAATCCAAAGGGAAGAAACATGAAAGCAAGACTGGGTTACCACCTGAGCAAAACCCCCAGGAGCAAAGACGCTCAGCCCTCCCAATGCCTTAGGTTGTCAGTGAGCAAATGGTGTTGTGGTCATTTGATTTACAATTTTTAATTGTAATTACAACTTGTAATTAATAAACTGATTAAATTTCACTCTGACCGCTGGTTAGCAAATCAATTCATTAAGACTCCATATGGATTTATTCAACCAAAACACAGTTTTAGTGATTGTTAGAGGAGTGGACTTATTGACTAGATGACTGAAAAGACTAACATCTCAGTTTTGGTGAGTTTTATTTTGTTTCTGTTGCATTTCAATGGGGTGTGTTTTATGATGAGTTACCAGGACAATTAAGCTAATGTTAGTGTTAAGTTTTCCTGCGTTGATCTCCAGACCATGGTCAGAACCATGAGGAGACTTTGTTTTCTTCTGAGCTGCAGTTGGTACTCTGAAGCAAATCCCCATTGGTCCACTCAGCAGTTGATAAAAAAGACATGGAAATGTCTGCTGGTCTTAAGGAGCTGCAGCATTTATAAGCACACAAACTGAAACAGTACTTCACATTTACTTTTGACATCTTCAGTCTGTCGATTGGTCAATAACGGATGGTCACTCTTGCTCAGGGCCGAGCTGTGGCTGGTTTTGTAACCATTGTTCATACCGTAGAGAGCTTCACATATATTAGTAAACTGTAAGCTCTTCACTCAGCTTCATTAAGACTCCTATGAGCCTCTCAGAGTCTGTACATGCATCTCAGTGCCCTGAGAATTCCTTGATTTGAATCAGAATCAGCTTTATTAAGTACTTGTGTACATACAAGGAATTTGACTCTGGTAGACTTGCTACCAGAATTGACATAAGTACTCAGATTTAGGCAAGAAGTGGAATACAGAATATACAATATACAGAAAATATACAACTATACATCAAATATAAAAAAATATAAAAAATTATAAAACAAAAAATATTATAAAAAAATATATACAATGTACAAGGATGCAGTGCCACTATGTGACTGTTTAGGAGTTCATCAGAGCAACAGCCTGGGGGAAGAAACTGTCTTTGTGACGGGTGGTTTTGGCGAACAGTGCTCTGTAGTGCCTACTGGAGGGAAGGAGTTTAAACAGATTGTGTCTGGGGTGTGAGGGGTCTACAGTAATGTTTCCTGCCTGTTTCCCTTGACATGTACAGGTCCTCGATGGAGGGAAGATCAGTACCAAAAATCCTCTTTGCACACCTGATTGTCCTTTTCAGTCTGTTCCTGTCCTGTTTAGTGGCAGATCCAAACCAGACAGTGATCGATGTGTAGAGAACAGACTGGATTATGGCTGTGTAGAACATGATCAGCAGTTCCTTGGGCAGGTTGAGCTTCCTGAGCTGTCGCAGGAAGTACAGCTTCTGCTGGGCCTTTTTCCGGACAGCGTCCATGTGGGAGGTCCACTTCAGGTCCCGAGAGATTGTGGTACCGAGAAACCTGAAGGTGTCCACAGTAGACACTGTGCTGTTGAGGACGGTGAGGCGGGGCAGTGTTGGGGGGCTTCTCCTGAAGTCCACTGTCATCTCCACAGTCTTGAGCGGGTTCAGCTCTAGGTGGTTCTGACTGCACCAGAGGACCAGCTGCTCCACCTCCTGTCTGTATGCAGACTCATCATCACAGTCCCGGATTAGACCGATTACCGTGGTGTCGTCCGCAAATTTATTTGACATCATCAAGAGATTTCGATTCACTTTAATCTCACATTCAAAGACAGTGCACTGACTGTCCAACAGATACAGCCGATTACCTAACATGTTGCAACAGGTATGTTCTGTATAATCAAGAGAGCATAATTAAATCAAGAAGGCCCAAGAAAGCTACAATTGATTTCTCATCATCTTGTCGTCTGAGTGTAGGTATAAAGATGCTTGCTTGCTGACTCCCAAGCAGATCGGCTAAAAATTGCCACAACACCATGTTTGTTTTGTTGCCATAAACTTCACGTTTGTTGAACCATAGGGTTACTGTAGCTGCCTCCCAAGAAAGAGTGACAGCCGCTTAGTGTACAGCTGCTTAGCCCGCAGAGAGCAGGGGCGATTGCTCTGAGACAACAAGGGAGGCTGAACTTCCCCTAAATTTTCATAGAAGAAATGGTCAAATATGCACTATTGAATTTACATTTAAATAAGAATTTTCATTGCATTAAACATGCACTAGGATGACTATGATGTTCAAACGTCAGCTGTTTATCACCAGTTTTCAAACGCGATCTCCATGTCATACATTCTCGTGTCAGCATGGTGGATGCAGAGCCTCCAAGCATTCCTATGAGACTACGCTGAGCAGGTTTTTTTCATGCAGCAAAGCGAGACAGTCATTGGATAAATGTGACAAAATCATAACTTCCAGGGAGGCTTAGCTTCCATGGGACCTAATGGAGCAGTAGGTAGGAGAGGATGCTCAGTGTATGCATGATGATTGGAGGAATTGTCGAAAAAGGCTGAACCCCTTTGTGATTAACAGAGCTTTTGAAATACACACTGGCATCGTCGCATTTCGAGCTCAGTCCCATGCGGATATTTGCGAGTGGAGCCTTCTGACAGAGTGTCGTCTGGAGTTCCTTATTTCCAAAAGCAATATAGCTCATTTTCACCGTTTGTACAATACACACACAACACACACTGTAAATAAGGGTTAGGGTGTTTAAACCCATCTGAAAATCTCTGAGGTGTGTTTTGCTGTGGTTCTATGGCATGAATGTGGTTGAAAAATAGCTTCAATTGAATGTTCCTTTTATAAGTTACTACCTCACTACAATATGACAAATTTTCTGATGTAAACTTAAAATGAGCTTCCCCTGTTTGAAAGACCAGCATCCGCTACTGGTAGAGAGAGACTGCAGGGACATAGATCCAGCAAATTTTTTTACATCTAACTCTGTGAATTAAGGATTAAGGAGTGGAGTGCCAAGCAAATCCCCAGCGCTCCACTCAGCAGTCGGTAAACAACACACAAAAAAATTCTGCTGGTCTTGAGGAGCTGCAGCACTTACAAGTACACAACTAAAGCTCTATTGTATATTCACCCTTGATATCTATATAACCCTGCTAAACGTGAACTCACCTCCACTCCACTCCACTATCTCGCTCATGCTTGCTCTACCACGCACACCTTACGCACACCTTACGCACACCTTATGCACACACACACACACACACACACACACATACTAACTGTGCACTGAGCTTTTCTCCAAATAAGTTATGCTACTCTTGGAACTTTAGTCTTGGGTCAGTAAAAGAGAGAAACTTGGATTGGTGTACGATTATGTTTTCCTATTAAGGAAAAGACAATAGGTGTAAGAATTTGCCATTTTATTTCTATGTCTCAGAGTCTTGTGTTGCTACTAACATGTCTCATCTTCCCCTTCCCTTTTGTGTCCAATCTCTGTCATGCCTGTCTTATGTCATCACACCTCATCTTCCCCTCAATCTTCAATTTGTAGTCAGCCTTATTTCCTTTTGTATAGCTTTCAGTGGGCACACATCCACCTGTTCGCACTCGGTAATAACAAGTAGTGTAGTGTTGTAGTGTCGTGTTTTTTTACAAACAATAATCAAGGTTGAAAGTGGAATTAAGCTTTTTAATCATAACATTCATCATATTTTATGTTTAAGTTGAATGTTAATCAAGAGCACCAAGAGTCCAATCATAAGCTCTTTGTGCTGAAATATTTTATTACTGTGTGATTAAAGTTTATTAAAAATGTAATCTGAGCAAAACCCAAATCACTTGGAAGAAAAAAACCCACTGAACAACTTTAAAAAAAAGAAGAGAGAAGCTGTTTTGACAGCCTGACACAGGCTGGTACAGGGACATGCCTGAGGGGATAGGTCATCTTGAGATGCAGCCAAAATAGGGCTATGCTGGGAAATTAGGGAAAAACCAGGGATTAGATCAGATCATTTGAAGTAACGATGACCAATTGTTGAAAAAAAGAAAAGAAAAACATTACCATGGGTCACCAATAGTTTCGAACATATGATTGGTTCAAATCTGAGGGAGGTCCCTGGGGTTTTTAAGACAAATGCATGCAGTTGACTTATTGGTCCAGAGGAGGCATAAGAAACCACTGAGGAGAGGCAGCCGGCTACAGCTACCTGCCATTGCGCTGTCAAATGTGCGATCGCTCCGGAATTAGTCAGAAGAACCTTCCACCCTCTTAAAGTGCGATCAGGACTACCAACAGACCAGTCTCTTGTGCTTCACTGAGACCTGGCTTACCGAGGACATAGATCTGCAACTGGACAGCTTCAACATTGTTTGTTTTGACAGAGACGCAGCAAGAACCAGAAAATCGATTGGGGGCGGGCTCTGTATGGCTGTCAACAGTAAGTGGGCTACAAACATTACAGTGAGAGAGACCGAGAGCTGCAAGCACTACGAACTGCTGACAGTGTCCTTCAGACCACATTATTTACCCCGAGACTTCTCCCAGTTGACTGTGATTTTAGCATACGTTCCAGGACCTGATTTTAACAAGGCAGCAGAGCGGATAGCTGACAGCTATCACAAAGCTGCCAATCAGACTGGAGCGCAGCCTGTGTTTCTCCTGGGGGATTTTAATCGCTGTGACATTACCTCACATCTGCCCGACCTGGAGCAATATGTCACCACTCCCACCAGAATGAACAATATACTGGACCTGTGCTATGGAAATATCTAGGGATACACAGAATATTCGGTAACCGAATATATTCGGCCGAATATTGCAAAAAAACACACATTCGGTATTCGGTGGAATAAGTGAAAAGCAAGGCCGAATAATAGCGGCGAGTTTTGATAACGCAATCAAACAGCTTGCGGTGATGGACGGAGTAAAATGTCGGCAGTGTGGCGATATTTTACTCCGTCCGTCACCGCACTCGCATTTGAGACTAAAAATAGTTTTGTGCGAGCAAAATAAATCATTCAGCACGCTGTGCGAGTACAGAATTCAACCAGCAGCAGAAACGAAAGGCAAATCCCACCGGTTGTGGGTTGAACGGGGGTCACAGACACAGACAGGAATACGTATTCCTGTCAAATACGGCAGCCATAGTGCTCTGCAGCGCAAGATAAGGCTTACCGGCGACGGAGAAGTCTGGCTCCAATAATGTCCTCTTCTTGCAGTCATGACTGCCCAACAGTACCTGGACAGCCGAGCCGTGGCAGCACACAGGTATGTGACGTGTCAGAGGACAAAACGAGCCGTTCACATTTCTCTCTTTGTGGCAGGTAACGGTCCACAAACCTCACCGCACTTTAGGGACTGTTCTTTACTTATGAAGGGACTGCTCTTTACTTGTCAGGGGAGGAGGGTGGCTGGTTGATTTTTATTTCATTTATTTTGATCCCCCCCTATGTTAATCACTTATTGATGCTGTTTTTGAAGTATGAACAAGTCAATAAGTAATTTATTCCATTGAAATATCATTGATGTATTATAGACAAGTGATTTATCTTTTTATAAATGACAAAAGGCACATCTGTCTCATTTTTGCTGTGGTATTGTGATACTACTCAGAACCGTGATATTTTCACTGGTATCGTACCGTGGATCCCAATTTTGGTACCGTGACAACACTAATCTGGAGGGGGTTTATCTGCAAAAACTAATGAAAAACTAAACAGCGGTATTCGGTATTTGGCTTCCGCTTCGGCCACAAATTTTCATTTTGGTGCATCCCTAGAAATATCCGAAACACATACGTATCAAAGCCATGCCCCCCTCTCGGCCGGTCAGACCACAACATCATCCTGCTGCTACCAAAATACAGATCACAGCTTAAAACAGGTGAGACAATAACAAAACCCATTAAAGTCTGGAATAGTGAAGCAACTGAAACGCTCTGAGGTAGCTTTGACAGGCTGCACAGACCCTGCCTCTTTTGCAGAAGAGCTGAACACCTTCTTCAGTAGGTTTAATCAAAACAAAGCATCAGATAGCTTTAGCTGCCAGACTCTGACCAACAATCAAGCCCTTACTGTTGATGAGCAGCTGGTGAACTCCATCTTACAGAGAGTAAACCCACACAAAGCCTCTGGCCCTGACAGGCTCAGGGGCAGGGTGCTCAAAGGCTGTGCTGCGCAGTTGGGTGCAGTCATCACCAGACTGTTTCAGCATCTTCTGGACTCTGGTTGTGTTTCCAGACAGTGGAAGGAGTCCTTAATAATCCCCATCCCAAAAAAGGCGCGTGCAAAGGACACTAAAGACTTCAGGCCCGTGGCCCTCACATCAGTGCGTTGCAAATGCATGGAGGGAGTTGTGTGTGACTTAATGTCACATATGCTGTCTGAAAAACAATAACATCACCTGTAGGGAGGGAATGAGTCTTTTTAAATATGCTGATGACATGGCCCTGGTGGCCCACGTGGACAGTATGGAGGCTCTCACCCAGTACCAACTGGCAGCCGACGACCTGGTCACAAGTTTTAGTGAGAAATCACTAGAACTAAACATTTCAAAGACTAAGGAGTTGTGCTTTGTGGGAAGAGAAAGAGCAGCAACTACATTTCAGCTTTTTAAACCTTTATTTATTCAGGGAGAGCGGGTGGAACAGATGGAGTGTTTTAAGTATCTGGGGACACAGATGGACACCTGCCTGTCCTTCCAAACACACTCTGACACAATCTACAACAAAGCACTCCAGCGCCTCCATCTTCTCAGGAAGCTAAGAAATTTTAATGTTAGTTAAAAGATTTTAATGATGGTTTACTGGTCACTCAATGAATCCATTCTCACCTTCAGTATCACATCTTGGTACAACTTTCTCACTAACAAACAGAAAACTAAATTCTCTCGCATCACAGATCAAGCCAGCAAAATAATTGGCTCACCACAAACTCCACTGTCCCATCTGTATGAGCGCTCTGTTATCAGGAAGGCCACCCTGATTACAGAGGAACCCTCTCATCCCCTCCATCATTCATTCAGTCTCCTCCCATCAGACAGGAGATATAAAGTCCCGCTGGCCAGAAAAACAATCTATAAAAAATCATTCATTCCAAATGCAATAACAGCCCTCAACAGTAGAGGAATTTCAGTGCGCCGGTCAGTGCGAATACTGCTGGTCCTTTTCTTTTATGTATCAATGTGTGTTGTTTCTTTTCCATCCTATGTGTTTTTTAGATTCTTAGGTCTTTTTATAATGTCTGTAAAGTCTTGCACGTGTAAATGTTATGTTGAGCCCTGTCAAAGAGGAATTTCTGGTACCATTTGGTTTAGACAATAAAGTATCTATTCTATCCTATTCTATTCTGTTCTATTCTGGTTTATGGACTGTTACTTTTGTAAATAAATAAACCTTTTTGCAATGGATTTTGGTCAGTTTCTGGGGTCCTATCTTTTCAGAGTGCTTTTGAAACTTCATTGAATCAGCTCAGAATGCTTTTACAAAATATTGATCAATGCCACAGTTTCACTTCATGGTCACAACAGTAGATTGTCAAACAGGTTGCAAGATCACTATTAGATGCAACTTGATCATATTCTATTATTCTGATATCCAGCACTTCAAAGATCTATAGCTGATTATGATGTTTTTATTAGAGCAAATGCACACAAAGACAAATTACAAACAAACAAGCATGCATATCTGACATGCAGCAGACACCTGTCGCCACTGTGTAAGGGTAAGAGTTTGACAGTTGGATTGGTACCCAATCATCAGTGATGCAGATGACTGTACCAGACTACTGGAGTGAAGAGGGAGCTGTACCTGAAGGTGAAGTACTTGACTGATCTATGTTCAAACTCTCAACTATGGTAACAAGTAGTGGGTAATGGCTGAAAGAATGAGATCTTGCTGAAATTATCTTTCTTTGCAGAGTGTCTTGACTTAGCCTTAGAGACAGGGTGGTGGGGAAGGAAGTTGTTTAGCAATGACTGTACAATAGTAATGCAAATGTTATAATATGTATAGTTCTAAATGGAGCAATTTTAGCCCACTATTTTTAAACTATAGGACATTACACCACCTTTAAAAATTTTAATTATCACATTGTTTTCCAACAGTGGTATTTCCACCATCCTCCAGTTCGGTCTTTGTTACATTTAAAGATCGTAAATATATGGAATATTATTTCCATGTATTAATTGTTAATGATTTCACATAATTCATAAGATCCTTTTCGAGATTAACAAATCACTGGTAAAATGTAAGGATTTCTTTTCAAAAGAAAACATAATCTGGCAGGTGTAGGACAAATCCTTGTCTCTCATTGGCTCTGCTCTGAGCGTTCATGTGATTGATCATAATCACTTGAGAGATCCTCATTTTACCTCTTACACTTTGCTGTGAAGAGGAGTAAGTTACTTTATAATGTCCTATTCTATTCACTCCTCACTCAGCACATTATGATATTTTGGGGTATTTTATGCCTCTACGCAATAGTGTCAGTAGAAAGATGAAGGGAATGAGGAGAGGGAGAAAGTGGATGGCCCAACACAAACTGGGGATGGTATGGTTTATAGTCAGGGCCAAAATACCCAACACACCAAGACGCCCCCTAAATTTGCTCTTAAGACAATGTCTATGTGTAATTCTTAAGAATTTTGTTATGAGCACTGGTCCCAGAAAAGCTCAGGCACAGATGTTTGACTTGTTCCTCACCTGACCGTTGTGTACTACAGTGATGTGTTTCTGGGTGTAGAACTCCATGGTGTCCACTGTCGCACCAGGGATACGGCAGGATGAAAACAAATACTCAAACTGCTTCATACACAGTGGCGTCCCTTTTATGTGCTCAGCTGGTAGTGTGTCACTGGAAAAACACACAAACATTAAATACTACCTCAGCCATCTGGATGTTCAGGATGTGATGCACACACAATACTCCTTTATAAAGTTTGAATGGAAGTTTGAATATATATAACTGTTCTCAATAAGATGACCAAAAAACAGGGTTTTCAGGTTTAGCCATTTCTTTTTTTATGAATAGTTTTACCTATAGATTTCTCTGCAAAGTAAAAACACTAAAACTGATCCAAACCAAAGATGTACGGAGAGCAAATGTCTGAACTTGTTTGAACTTCTTGAAGTTCAAGTTTAACTTTCAACTGTAGATAAACTACAAACACCTGAGTTCAGAGAACTAATTTTATATCTCTGGCTTAAAAAAAGCATAGCACTACTTTCAGTCAGCAGTTGAAACCTCTGTTAATGTGTAATTTTACTGCTTCCTATGCTGTTTAATGTTTGAAGGTAAAAGGAACAAATTAATTGATAAGCTCCAGTTAATATTTATGATTACATTGCGTGAGCAAATCATGACAGAAGATAATGAAACTCCTAGGATGAAAAAGATCTTTGTGTCTGGTAAAAAGAGAACATTTTAAGCTCATTACTCACTTGTCAATCATTGTCTTTAATTCCATTGCAGATGCTATGTGTTTGGCAGCATACCTGAACAGAGAAAACATGGTTATTCATTTAAATGTTTGAAAGGAACTCCAAAAAGAGACTAATGTTATTAATGAATTGTTCAAATTAGAGGCTTACTTTTATCCTTTATACAGGTCAATTTCCTAAAATCCAACAACTGTTGGATTTTAAGGTGTGTGTGTGTGTGTGTGTGTGTGTGTGTGTGTGTGTGTGTGTGTCTTGTCTGTTTACCTTATTTTTTCCTTTTTATCACTGTAGTCTATTTTGGGAAATAACCCTGCAGAATTTGATACACCTGCGAGAGGTTTTCGTGCAGCAAGAAATCCAGTCCTGACAAAATCCTCTGTAAACTAAGAACAGTTACAAACTATAAGTGACACACAGTAAAATACAGACAAAAACAGATATAGTCCCTTGAGTTTGTAAAGAAGGTTTTTCATGGCACCTGTACTTCATATTAAGTGTTTCTGGACATAGTCTCCTTCCAAGCTAGTGGTGAAATAAACAAAATGCCTGAATAAAGTTGGTGACCAAACAAAGTGAAATGTAGTTCCTATTTACATGAGCGGTAACAGTGTCTTTCCCTTGTTTTCCACCCCTTCCAGGGTTGCATAGACTGCTACAGTTAAGGTTTGAATTTATATTGAAAGTTATAATCCTTAAAGTTTTAATTCTGGTTGAAACTGTAACTGTTTGATGACACCTGAGGTTAGTGGTGGTCACATTTTATTATACATATGCGAGTTATTCTTGAAAAGACATCTGTATGATATCTGGGTGCAGCAAACACGCCTTGAACATCTCTGTCAGAAATGAAACAGAAGCAGAGCTGCAAAATTGGGCAGGGTTTTTATTAGTTACCTTTATACCATTTGAAAAGTTATTCCAATGCATCAGGTCCTCCTCTCATCCAACAATTGAAACTGATATGACACTACTAGGTTCGACATGTAATCACCATTAAAATTCAGTGACATTTCAGTTTATGACATCTACACTGTCCACTTATTATTTGGTAAGCTCTCATAAAGAGCCATTCAAACAATATTTAGTAGAACAAGACTTGCTTTCCAGCCACCAGATGGCACTATTTTCACCATCTTTAGAAATTGGAATTGCTGCTGAGGCTGTCAGACGATAGACTTTTATTATTTTATCCACTTTGCTTCAACCGTTCACCACCAGATTTTTATCATCTGTTCCTTGTCCCATTATCCACCTTTCCTGAAAATGTAATCAAAATCCGTTCATAACTTTTTGAGTTATTTTGCAGACAAACAAACAGACAAACAAACTAACAAACAAACAAACAAACAGACCAACGCCAGCGAAAAAATAACCTCCTTGGCGGAGGTAATAAGTTGAATAAAGACTCAACCCAGTGTTGTGAGCATCTTGGGTTCACCTAATGACAATACAAATCTCTACTTTAATGTGAATCTTTGACGGAAATACAGAGCAGGAAGAATGAATGAACATATGTGATTATTTTGTAGCTGACCAAATTAACAGGAGGTGGCTTATCTTCACTCAACTCATATTTTAATTTATTTGACAATAACTGTATTGTAAAATCCTTACAGGCTGCAACTGTGCTGTTCTATCTCACGTACGCGCCGCCCTCCACTGGACTCTTCGGGTAATGCTCCTCAATAAGATGCATCCGCACACTGAGAAAAGCATAAACATAAGGCCCGTTTCCACCGCAGGAACTTCAGGGTAATTTTACGGGGCCGGGCCATTGGTGCGTGTCTCCACCGCAGGAACCACCCCCGAAGGACAGAGTTCCGGAACTTTTACAGGGACTAAACAAATCCCTGCCTAGGAGTAGATACTCAGAACGGCCCCGAAAAACTCCTGGATGAGGCTTGGGGATTACTTGGTGCTGATTGGATATACTCAAGGCGGGATGTGACGTCAACAGAAAGTGACAAAATAGCCTGCTGCTGTCAGGCTACATAACCAGCACTGCTCACAATATACTGCACCATGGACACTTTAGGGACACCATAATAAGCATAACTGTCCTCCTTGTTGTTGTTTATTTGCACATACAATTTTCACTTTGCACTAAATATGCTCACTTTCTCTCATTATTAAACTATGCCTAGTTTTTTAAGTTTTTAAAGTTTGAAATCTTTAATCTGACTCTTTCCCCTTGACTGTTGTAACACTGTAATTTCTCAATTGTGGGATCAATAAAGGTGTATCTTATCTCATCTTATCTTATCTTATCTTATCTTATCTTATCTTATCTTCAAGGACCTCATCAGTGCCTTAGCACAGACCAAGCAGAGAGCACTATTCAGAAGCCACCAGCCTGCAAGGCCTGCCTTGCACTGCCCAAGTTTAGACACCAACAGTGGTGGGATCACTTCAGACACTTTGACGTGGTGCTTCTCCGCCATTAGGGTAAGCAGGAACTCAAGAACAATGACGATGTGAACCCCTACGCCAACTGCCATACTCCACAGCCACTGCCTGTTCACTCCTGCTGGTGGGACCATATGCAGTGGGCCATGTCAGGCTCCCCTCGATCACTCCAACCAAGCCAGCAAGCTGTCTTTGTTATGATCTGGCTCACCCAGCTTATGCGGCTTTTGTCTTGCCCCCTCTGCCAGCCATATGGCAGAGTGTTGAGCAGCTTGGTGCGACAGTGATAGCGTTGACCATTATGCAGGCACTTGGGTTCACAGCAGTGGCCCACCTGGCAGTACTGATGGGGCTACTGCACACGCAGTGCCTGCCGAGGTGGTTTGCCAGCCCTCGCTTGGATGCCAAGACACACAAGCAATGCTTGGTCACCATTCCCCTCTCAGTATGGGACCACCTGAGATACTGGGGGTCCCCAAAACACCTGTTGCAGGAACACCACTGGGACCAGTGATCTCTTACGCCGCGGTGCTCACAGATGCATCCCTGACAGGGTGGGAAGGGACCTACCTGAGAGAACAGTAGGTGGTATGTGTCCTTTGACGGTGGTCTGACACACCTACTTCCTTGAGCTACAGGCAGTGTTTCTGGTTTTTGATCAGACATTTATATTAATTATGTTCCAGTGAAACATCTGCTGTATCTACACAAACTCCACCTCTGAGCTGGTGCAGCTGCCACTTCAACCACATCCTCTCTCTCCACCCCTCTCAAGCCACACCCTCTCTCCATTACCCTCCAGCTCCATCTACTCTCTCTGCCCCTCTTCAGCCCCACCCTCTCTCTCCATCGCTGTCTAGCAACCCCCTCTCACTTTAGCCCCATCCTTTCTCCACCAGTTGTGAAGGCCTATTTTGTTCTCTTTTTTCATTTCCAACAAAATGTTTCATTCATTTCATTTCATTTTAGACCACAGATTTTAATAGACAATCATCAATTTATGATAAATTAACCTTTTTTCATGTGTAGTTTAACTGTGGTTGAAGAAATATGAAGCAAAAAGTATTATGTAATTATTTGGTTAAGATAAATATGATTTATTTTCTAACCTTGGAGATCTGTATCTGCTCTCCTCCACTGGCAGAATGTGTCTATAAGGTCAATCCCAGGAGGTGAGTACATAATGAGCTCCTGATTTAGTAAACCAGGAGTTAAAGAACTGCAGAATGTGTGAGGAGGTTACCCCATTGTCTCAGTAAATGTGTCTATAGCTACTGGTGTAGTTGTTTGGCTCACCCAGTTCTCAGTGTTGCGTGCTTTCATTTCCAGGCCTCTCTGGAGTCTTTCTCCGACTCCTCCTGCTTTCCGAAACTCCTCCACCAGTTTTTTGGTTCGCTTCAACTCGTCCTCCTCCAGAATGGGCTCCATATAGCTGAGGTAGAGCTCACAAGTCTGCTGCAGAGGGGGGACAGGCTGACTGGGCAATCCCTTCTGCTGGATCAGGTTTCTGCCAGGAACCAGGGTCACTGATACAGGTTTCACCAAGTGAAAGGGCCTCACCATCCCCACCTTTATGCGGAAGATACAACAATGTACTCAAATACATGTATAACTAGTTATAATGACAACAAGGAGAGGTTGTGATGAGAATCAGTCTCATGAGTCCACATATCTTGTACTCTCATTTGTTCCTATGTATTAAACTGTGAGAGTATTATTCATGTCAACGGGCTGAGGAAGCCACCAAAAGAAATTAAACAATCGGTTAGGTATACAGTTATTGGGAGACAAGTCAGTTTAAGGCTACTACAGTCACATATAAAGTCCACTTTTTCTTTTTTTTTTCAAACTTTGCTTTTTGTAACCTCAGACAGGAAATGATTTGAACATTTACCTCTTATACGTTTTGAGACTTTGTTCCCAGACTAAGCGAGATTCTTCCAGTTTGGTTAATCGCCAATTCCTTTCAAATTTTTGCAATATTCGGTTTAATTTTCGGTTTTTAGAGTTGTACCAAGGAGGGTCGACATTCCGAATTCTGTTCCCTGAGTCCTGACAGTAGCCGTATTTCCCATGCATTTCAGCAATTTACACCGGGGACGCATGCAAGTAATTCAGGCCGACATTAGACTACCTGTTTTTCAGCGAACTCTGGGGATGCTCGCGAGTAATTCAGACAGACAGTACCTGTTTTTCAGCGAACTCCTCTGGTAATTTTATTAAAAAGCATGGCATATAGGTCCACAGCAACATATTATTATTATTATTATTATTATTATTATTATTATAATTATTATTATTATTATTATTATTATTGGGTCTTTTAAGAGTGGGCTACAATGAGTACCGGGCCATCAAATCACAGCATCCGCAGTGAGAGGACACAGAATTGTTTGCGCTTTTACGCTTTATTTATTTATTATTATTATTGTTTTTATTATTAGGCTGGTAGTAGTAGTACTGGTAGTAGTAGCAGTAGTAGTATTTGCAGTAGTGGTAGTAGTAGTATTGTTGTTATTATTGTTGTTATCACTGAATGAGGGATTCTCATGAACTCTATGCATATTTATTTAACAACATGACAAGACTTTCTAAGTGCAGCAGCTCGTTGGCTACCAACTCAAGGCCGGGTTGTTTTCATAGGCCTATATAGCAAACGAAAATCGATCAGCACCTGGGTCTTACAAGAATGGACTACAATGAGTACCGGATCATCAAATCACCGCATCCGCGGTGAGAGGACATGGAATTGTTTGTGCTTTTATGCACGGGTCTAGGCGATCACAGAGATTTGATGTGGAAAAGATGTAGCTTTCACGACAGTTCTGATAGCCTTTAACCAGATGAATTCAGTCAGTGCAAAGGTTTGATGAATGAGTTAGTATTTAGACACACCAGATATATTATACAGATATACCTTGGCCAAACGTGCAACTGTATTATATAGATTTACCATGGCCAGACATGCTACGGTAGGCTACGTATGATTTTGGAGTGTCTGTTTCATTTGGCACATGTCTACACAGTTGAGTGCCTTTTCTTTTTCAAAAAATAAATTCAGAAATGTTTTCCATGTAGCCCATTTGGTCGGTTTTATATTCCCCATAATTTTCCTTTACGAAAAAATGGGTCTGGGTTTTTATGGGTTAAACATTAACAAATCATGAAAAGGAATAGGCACTCAATCATACGTCAGAACTAGATCAAGGGTATGGTTAAAACAGTGAGTGGGTTTATGTACACCATGACTGAAGCCAATGGAGTCTAATAATGAGATAAACGCAGTAGTGAGGGAGTTAGTATTATCAACGTCAACATGAATGGTAAAATCACCTACAGTAATAACTTCATCTGATTTAAGAACTAAACTGGATAAAAACTCTGAGAATTCAGATACAAATTCAGAATACGGGCCAGAAGCATGGTACACTACAACAAATAAAAGTGGTTGCGAGGTTTTCCAGGTCGGATTTAAAAGACTAAGAACAAGGCTTTCAAAGGAATTATAATCTAGTTTAGGTTTAGGGCTCATTAACAGACTAGAGTTAAAAATGGCTGCAACTCACCCTCCTCGGCCGCTGCCTCAAGGAATGTGAAATTTTTATTAGGTTCTTATGCACAACTCCTCTTTGCTTAATTTTTGATTTAGATGATTTAGCTGGTCGGGGGACAGACACCGTTTATATAACACTATGGGTGTAGCACTTTCCCCAGAAAGTTTGCCAATGATTAATGAAAACCCACATCGTTTGCTGGACACCACCTGGACAGCCAGCGATTAAATGATGACATGCGGCTAAACATCTCATCAGTGGTCTGATTTGGGAGGGGTCCAGAGAAAACTACGGAGTCCAACATTGTGTGTTGTGTTTTACAGATACTCAGCTACTGATCAGATGTAATTACGGTATTTATTTCTTTTTCCCAGTTTTCTTTAATATATTCTGTAATAACTCTGGAGTTTGAAATACTCTGGTATAATTTTGATACTACTTTCTTTTTCCCCATTCTATATGTCTGTTCAAATAGTAGAATAAGCTGATTTGAATTTGTGGTTGATCCGTGGGGCTGAATTTCACGATCAAAATAGTGAAATAGTTGTAAGTATCTGAAAAAGTCAGATTTTTCCAGATTTACCCATCTCAGTCTTCTGGATTGTTAGGGACCTCGGCCAAAGGCATGTTTAGGGGGTTTAAGACCCCCTAAAAATGCTCAAAAACTCACCAAAATTGGCACACATGTCAGGACTCTCTCAGGCTAACACGGAGATGCTGATGCATGCTTTTATCTCTAGTCGTTTAGATTACTGTAATGCCCTGCTCTCTGGTCTTCCCAAAAAGACCATCTCTAACCTGCAGTTACTTCCAAACTCAGCCGCATGAGTGCTGACGAGGACCAGAGGGCGGGCGCACATTACACCAGTTTTAAAATCGCTGCATTGGCTCCCCGTGTGTTTCAGGATCAATTTTAAGGTTCTTTTATTAGTTTTTAAATGTCTTAATGGTCTTGGGCCATCTTATTTATCTGACATGCTTTTATCATATCAACCCTTGCGGATCCTGAGGTCCTCCGGCACTGGCCTTTTAATTGTTCCAAAAGTGAGAACAAAAACCCACTGGGAGGCTGCATTCAGTCATTATGGCCCTCACTTATGGAACAGCCTGCCGGAGAGCATCAGGACTGCAGTAGTCTCGCTCACCAGACCTTTCTCAAGAAAATAAAGGTCTGGCTGGGCCGGCTCTCACTTTGAGATTGGAGAAAAAAAACGCCCCGGCTGCTTGTACTTCTTTCAACCAATCACAATCGTTCTGGGCGGTGCCACAGCAACGGTGCGCTTGCAAAAATATTGCTGGGGGTAAACAGGTTTTGGTGTAACACGCCCTCAAAAATATCACCTACAGGACGCGAACCATGGCAGAAAAATGGCTACATCCCCGCAAGATCAAACACCGCAAAAGTTAGTAAAGGACGTGTTGAAAATGGTTGAAAACTGCTACACAACCGAAGGTGGTAGGGCGGGACTTCAGCCACTCAGACTAGGACTGCAGAGACTGTTGATGTTTTTAAGAGGAGGCTCAAGACTCACCTTTTTAATTTAGCTTTTAACTGATTTCTTTTACTCTTTTAATTCTTATATTATATGTTATTTTAATTTAATATGTATGTAATATTTTTGTTGTATGTTTTTATTCTGTGAAGCACATTGTGCTGCATTTTTAATGTATGAAAAGTGCTATACAAATAAAGTTTGATTGATTGATTGACTGGCAAAAAATTTGATAAAATGAAAAAAATAAACCTAAAAGTGCCAAAATGGGCTCTCTAGTGCCACCTAGACACACAAAAATGGCCACTGCGGCCTGTAGGAATGTCATAGAAAGATCAAACCAAAACTGGCTTGTTCGTCTCATCGAGCCCTACAAATCACGCACCCCTGACCTAAATCCAATAGGAAGTGAGCTATTTGCCCTTTCATAAATTCTCTTTTTCTCACCTAGACACACTAAAATGCCCAGTGGAAAGGGGTCTAAAATCGTCTAAAAGTTTACGTGAGCTGGAGGCCAAAACGGCGGGAGTCCGAGGTCCTGCCCAACACTGCTTGCAGCTTTAATTTTTTTCGTTTAAAGGCTTTTTCCTCTGCATGCTCTTTGTCTTCAAACAAAGACAGCTAGGTGACACCCATCTCCACAGGAGATCTCACCTCACACCTCAGTGAGACTCAAGTCCCAAAACTTGATTGGACAAGACCTTTTACAGTGACATGTGGCTCTGTGATGTCACAGGCCTGCAAAGATCTGCTCCCTTCCAACAGATCTTTCTTTTGCCCTGGAGCTTCAAGAGCTCACACCTCTCTCCGGCTGGGCCTGGAACAGCCCAGAGGACCAGACCCTGGCTCCATAGCCCCAAACCACTAAAGGGAGGGCAACTGATCACAGACTCTCTTGCAAACACAAGGTTTGCAACTAGCTTTCCAGCAACAAGGAACTAAGTGAGTTAGCACCCAGGGTCTAACTCTGCGAAACCCTGAGCAACCAGCTTCCTCAGAGTTTCACCTTTGGAACAAAGGACCCAGCAAAGACTGCACCTGGAACCATCTTCCCAGCCTTCTTCTGCCGGCTAACAAAGCAGCACACCACCAAGTGACTCTTTCTCCCATCCATTCAAGGATCGGTAACGTAACAACTGGGCATAGCTTATCACAGCTTTACAGGCTAAGCAAGACTGTTTAACTTGTTGTATGTGATTTGATGCTGTTTACTGAGTTATTGTTGTGATAGATTGCAGTTAGGTCACTGATTAGTTGGCTTCGCCAAAGCTAAGTGTTTAGTTTGCTAATACTGTTCACAAACAGATTCTTGCATGCAACTAAACAATCTCTGCACTAATTCAGACCGTTTGCAACACACCTCACATTCACATAGACTCATTAACAAATAGGCTTTCAACAGAGCTACACCCAAACAAGCATCTCAAAATTCCCGCTTCTTTTCCTTTGTCTTTGGGTACGTCCCAAGTCTCTTATTTTATACTGCTAACTCCTAACTCCTTACTTGAACCGGAAGTCGTTCGAGCTCCACCATCTTTAAGGCCGTCTCATGTCTCTTATTCCTGCCAGTAAGGAGTTAGCGTTAGGAGTTAGGAGGGATCTGTTAGGTGCAATGAGTAAGGTAACACGAAAGGTTCCTAACAGGAAGTCTTTTTCAGCTTGAGGCCATGACGTATAAATACCCGCCCCCTATGTCTGGCTCATTTGAACGAGATGGCGGAGAAACAGCGCAAGTGTACCCATTGCATGCATTCTTTGCAATGAAACGCTGTAATTCACATGCCTACGTGACTACAAAGAGTAACGTTAATGATATTTCGTGTCATGTTGTAATTAAGTTTATTTCATTCACAACCCGTTGCGGTGTTCAGCGGACTGTCGGTGATGTGTGGCTGTTAAATCTGCAGCTGCTCAAGTGATATAACACCACGCACACACATACACAAACACATTTGCCCATCATTAATTGTCCTGCATGTCATGTGAGTGGAATAATGTTTAATAGGCTGTAGGTAATATTAATATTAATTATTATTATTACTTTCATTACTGCTGTTGTAAGCTACTGTCATTACCATCTGTCCTGCATCTCTCTCTGTCTCTCTCTCTCTGTCTGTCTCTCTGTCTCTGTCTCTCTCTCTCTGTCTGTCTCTCTTTCTGTCTCATTGTGTCATACGGATTACTGTTAATTTATTATGTTGATCTGTTCTGTACGACATCTATTGCACGTCTGTCCGTCCTGGAAGAGGGATCCCTCCTCAGTTGCTCTTCCTGAGGTTTCTACCGTTTTTTCCCCGTTAAAGGGTTTTTTTGCGGAGTTTTTCCTTATCCGCTGTGAGGGTCCTAAGGACAGAGGGATGTCATATGCTGTAAAGCCCTGTGAGGCAAACTGTAATTTGTGAAACTGGGCTTTTTAAATAAAATTGAATTGATTGAGGCAGACTGACAGGTATGATGTCATAGTCACTCAGCAGCTGACTTGTTGAATGATGGCGAGTGGATTTAATAGTAGTGATAATAATAATGATAATGATGCTCATCACAGTGACAGTGGCAGGGCTACAGACTGTTCTTTAATTGCCACAAACTTCGGCAAATGACTCAGTAACAATGGTAATACATGCAAAAGTGTGTGACCAAAGTCATGACGGCGGGGGGGCTTTGATCAGCGAATATAATGTGACTTGGGATGTACGCCAAATGCTGGCTCCGTTATACAGCAGATCCAGCTGTGCCGCCCATAGGTGCCGCCGTCACCAGGACGTCGCTTTACGTGACACTTCAGAGTAAGGCCGTCTCATGTCTCTTATCAGCAATCCTCGCTCCTCACTCCTAACTCCTGACTCCTTAAATGTTTTCCTAAGTGGGAGGGACTAAACAGTTAGGTACGGTGGCTAGGTTAGGTGGTTTGCAGTAATTTTAAGGGACTTGGGACGTACCCTTTGTCCTGACCACATGGTCAGACAAACACCTCCCCCACCTGGAAGCCAAACTTGATTCGGCCATTTTGGTAGTTCTCTGTTGTCAGCCATTTGGTTTTGTAGACCAAACGGCTCCTTGATCACCACACCCGCCTTTGCCTTTCTCTTCTTTCTCTCTCTCTCTCTGACACACACACACACATACACACCAAGCTTGTATATAGTTAGTTAGAATTTGTGTGTTTTGGTTTCCTTTGCTAGTTTGTGAATAAATATAATTCTTTGGAATCATGCCTGCTGTTTGTTTAATGTTGCACAAGAGTGAATGAATAGTCAACCTCTGCTGCGTCAAGAACTCCGAAATCCTTCAGGCATTACCGTTAATTTTGGTTGTTGTCATTAATTTAATTATTAATCAAACTCCAAATTAATAGTTTAGCCTATTTTATGAGACTGATATCTTTAACTGGCTATCATTTTTCCCTTTACGGGAATGGTGCCCCACGAGGTGAGTTAATATTAATTAAGTCACATTATTTAACATAATTATTAATTATTAATAATAATTATTAATTATTTCCAATAGCCAATTAAACCCCAACATTTTTGGTGCCTCCATGTGAAGCCTAATGTGTTGACCCCAACACCAGGGGACCGCTGATTTGAGTTGTGCGGCATAGTAATAATCTCTGAAGTTTGGTAGAGACATACTTAATATACTTGAATACTTAATTCGTAGTCTTCTGCCATTCCAAATGAAACGTGATATTTCTTTATCCCATTCATTGAATTGTTTGGTTGGAATTTGGATTGGCAGTGACATGAAAAGATATAAAAGCCTTGGTAAAACATTCATTTTGATAGTTTTGATTCTGTTACTCAAGTAAAGTAGGAGTAAGGACCAACAGCAGAGATCATCTTTTATGTTTGAGTTAATGGAGCCATAATTCTTAACATATCATTTTTCACCTACCTGTGTTGTATCCAGACCCCCAGATATTTTATAGCGTCAAGGTTCTAATTAAAGGGATACTTTTCTTTCATTTTAGCACCTGGGGTAAAGAAAAAAGATTAAACTTGCGTTTTTTTTGTATGTTTAGCTTATATCCAGAGTATCGACCATAGGTCTCAAGGAGATCAGTGACATGAGAGAGACTATGGTCTGGATTCCTTAAATACAGTAGGACATCATCTGCATATAACGCTATTTTATGTTCTGTATTATCTATAACTACACCTTTAATATGCTGATTTTGTCTGACTGCCTGTGCTAGTGGCTCTATAAAAAAGACAAACAGTGTCGGACTCAAGGGACATCCCTGTCTTGTACCTTGTGTTAGCTCAAAGCTATCTGTAAGACGACCGTTTACTCTTATTCTGGCTACAGGCTTAGAATACAGAGCCTTTATACATTTAATTGAATCTTCAGAAAAAACAAATCTCTCTAATACCTGAAATAAAAACTGCTAGCCCACGCAGTCGAAAGCTTTCTCGGCATCCAAACTCATCAATAGCATACTTATTTGCCTCTTTTCAACAAGGTGCAGAACTTGGAGTGCAGGTCTGATATTATCTTGTGTTTGGAGTCCCTTCACAAAACCTGTCTGATCCTTGTCAGTCAGCTCTGGAACAAATTAGTTAGGTCTATTGGCTATAATTGCAGCATAAAGTTTGTAATCTTGATTCAGAATTGAAATTGGTCTATATGAGCTACGTAGTTCTTTATTTTTGCCTTCCTATGGTATTATTGATATCAAGGCTTGATTCCATAATGGAGGGATAATTTAATTTTTAAGAGTCCAATTAAAGGAGGAAAGGAGAACAGGCTTTATCTCCTTAAGGAATGTCTTGCATCACTCCCCAGGCAATCCATCATTTCCCGGTGTTTTGTTATTTTAAAGTCTGCCTATTACTGTATCCAGTTCTTGTTCTGTAATTGTCTTGGTCATAAATGTGTTTTGAACTTTTCCTATTGAGGGTAAATCTAATATATTTAAGAATGCATATGTGTCATGGGTGCTTTCTTGACTTGGTTGTGTATATAATGTTTTATAGTATGATACAAATGACTTCTCTATTTCTTTAAGATTATTTGATATCTTCCCTGTTTTGGTGTCTTTAATCTTAGGTATAAAGTTTAAAGCCTGCTCCCTTCATAGCCTCATTGCTAGTAATCTTGTAGCTCTTGGACCGACTTCATAGTAATTTTGTTTTAGAAATTTGTATTTTTTCTCTATTTCCTTGTTATATAATAAGTCGATTTCTTTCCTTACTGCTTTAATTTGTTCTGATGTGTTGAATCTTCTTTATGGCCTTTCTCTAAATGTTCAAGTTTCTGTTCTAATGTCTTAAGTTTATGTTCTTTTGCCTTTTTTATTACAGAGCTGATCGCGATGATTTTTGCCCTAATGACGGCTTTTAAAAATGCATCCCAAAGCATAGTTGGATCCACCTATAATTATGTTCTATGTCTTAATTTCAGCTTGAATTTGCTCAATTACCATTTTATTATTGAGCAAGCTTGTAGTTAGTCTCCAACTTGCTTCCTAGGTCTGCTGTCAAAATGAAGAATTAAGTAAATTGGTGAATGGTCTGACACATCCATGGGACCAATGGTGCATTCTTGCATTCTGTGTCTATCAGTATAAGAAAGTAATCTATTCGTGAATATACTTTGTGTGATGCTGAGTAAAACGAGTAGTTGCAATCCCATGGATGCATCTCCCTCCAAATATCCAACAAACCTGTTTCATCAATGTAAATTTTAAATGTTTTAACTTGCGAAGATTGGGTCCTCTTGCAACATTAAGAAATGTGACTAATCTGTTTTCAAACGAGAACAAATCGCTTCCCTGTTCTACACAAAAACTCTTGACATGTTGTGAAGAACTGTAAGGTTGGATGGTGGCACTTTTTGTACTGCTCATGTATTGCCCATAACATTGTTGTGAGGAGGGGCATTGGTGGCTTAGTGGATAGAGCAGGCACCTCATGTACAAGGCTGTTGCCGCAGTGGCCCAGGTTCGACTCCAGCCTATGGCCCTTTGCTGCATGTCATTACCCCTCTCTCTCTCCCCCCTTCACACTTAACTGTCCTGTCTATAAAGGCAAAAATGCCCAAAAAATATCTTAAAAAAAAAAAAAAAAAAACATTGTTGTGAGGTTAAACTACTTGTTCACAGACAGTACAAATAAGCCATATTGGCATTCCTTTGGTGTGCAAGTCCCTGGATGCCCACATAGATAACAAACAGCCCAACTCCAGTATAGTCAGAAGAACAGAGAGCTTTCCTTGGTGGTGAAAGGCTTTATCAACGTTGTGTGAACTCATTTGGAACGGGCTTGAATTAATTAAAAGTTTGAATTCATTAATATGTATTAGTTCCACCCTCTAGCTTGAGCATACCATGGGTGTTAGAGACCCCGAATAAAAATTAAAATCAACATATAAAAACAACATGTAATGATAATCTAAAACATTAGAATACAGGTAAACACTAGTTTTGTGCAAGGATTAAGAAATATGCGTACCCAAATGGTAACGTTTACTTACCAGAGCTTTGCCGCAAATTCTCAACATTGTGCTTTCAGAGAAACTCCCACAGATTAAGGCTGAACACTATTTACCTCTATAAAGGTGTTTTTTTTGTCTTTTTTAAAGATACAGATAGGTAATGTTTCTGCTATATGAGAGGAGTTTGTAACCACTGCTCTGCTGCCAGCTCTTACAGACTATTTAAGTTCAACTGAATAGAAAGACCAGAGAATGTTTGTTTGTACAGCAATGATGTCACAAACTGTGAAAGGTATATTTATTTTTCAGCCTTGTATGGTTTGTGTGGCTAGAAGCTTTAAGGCTAACCTGAGGGCTTTCCCGATTATTTGTCCAAGTAAGCAGTATCTGAACTTAAGAAGCCAGGAATGTTGCAAAAAACGAGACTTATCCACTTGTGTTGGTCAAACAAAGATCTGGGCACTATTCTTCGTACACGGCTGACTATTTTATGTAGATTAACAATTTGACTGAAGTCTGGATATTTTGGTTCGAGTGTACAAGTGCCAAGATGGGTGTCATATAACACTTCAAATTGGTTGAATGGGAGGCATAAGCATTGAAATTTAAAGATATTACAAAAGGCTGTTCTCATAAACTGCTCATATGTTTTCCTACGAAAAGTAACGCACCCAAATTTGTATATGTGGCCGGACCATGGCTCAGCTTTGATTTCATTTAGAAGATTTTACTATTTTTGCTTCAACACAACCAAAAGCCCACAGGTACTTTATGATACAGTAGATGATGAGCAGAGACAAAAAATTCCTGCAAGATTACAAAGTTTATTAAACAAATTAATAAGACAAGAAAAAGGTATATATTAAAACAGGAATCCTATTAAAAGCTAGTATCAAAAAAAGGTAAGAGCTACATAAAAATGCAAGTAAGTACTAGTTAAAGCAACCTTTCTTGCATTTCACACAGCACTTAGAAAATAAGGATAAGTCAGGATTTAAAATTGATCATCTTGCGGATTATGCAGGGTTGCGAGAGTCTGAGGATGAGGGGAGGATGAAATACTGCTATGGTCAAAACCATAATTGTAAGTGTGTATGTGTGTGTGTTTTGAAGGGAATGATCCTGAAGGGGAACGTAGACAGTCTGACACATCTACAACTAAAGTGACATGTTGATGCTGCCGTTAAGATAAACCTGGATGTGATCAAGGTATGGACAACAAAAACTATAAAGGAGCTCTGAGCATTCTCTTTAGTTTTTAAGATCATCACACCAAGGAAAATCCCAATTGATTGTGTTGATATTGCCACAAATCTATTTTAGGTTCGGTAGTTTGGTCTCCGATGAGGGTGTCCAGACCACGCTGGACTCCTTCAAAGCCTAGAACCCTGATGCCTGGCCAAAGGACCAAGCCAGTCTACTGACTTTTGGAAATGAGAGCATTGCAGAGCTGGCAAGGCACGACAGTGTAAGAATGCATTTTAAAGCAATATGATGCAGTTTTCACATTTTTGGAACAAAAACTGCACTGTATTGGTGTTAATGGGAGAATAGTCACTCATGTAACTCAATTGCTCTCTTCTATCCTTCAGAGCTGGTTGTGATATTCCTGCCATTATGGAAGAATGGCAAGGTCTCAAAATACTCATCAGCGAAAACTTCAGTGACAAGAGCTACACCGACCTCTGGGAGCTTCTTCTTACAAAAGACCCCTACAAGAGAGACTACTAAGTAAGTAAAAGTAGTCAGCCCTACTTAAACACATTCCTGTTTTTTGTATGTGTATTGTTTTTGAATATTGAGAGGTGAGGGTTAAAAATTAAAATTGTTCTCCCCTTAGAACATACTGGAATTGGTTTGGATCACATTGGTGCTGCCCATCTCTGCAGCCCAGTGTGAGAGGGGGTTTTCGGCCAGAATTCGACCAGAAACAGCCTGTCGGTGTCCGCGACAGAAGACCTGATGCAGATCAGCCTGGAGGGGCTTCCGCTGGAGAGTTATGATTCAAGTGCAGCTGTAGAACGATGGCTTAGCTCCAAGTGGGCCAGGCGACCAGATAATGTAGACTGCTGGACAACGGAAAATTTTTGGCGTTTAAATGGACTTACCAAGGTTGTTTTTTGTTTTTTTTAATTTATGATCTCATACCATTTACTGTATACCATTTATGAACTCATACCATTTGCTGTATACTTATATTCACAATTAATAAATATTCTTAATATTTTTACACACATTTACATTGTGTGTGTTTCCATTTTTGTTATAGCGAAGAGCCAGTCGTAACATTAAAAATTAAATTCTGCAGGGTTAGGGTTAGGCTAAATAAAGTACTTTATTTGATTGAAAATGTCCCCTTTATGAAAATTGCTGAATGTGTGTACTAAAAAATGTTGTACGCTATTTTTCAGCATGGTAGCACAGTGCTACTTGGAGAAAAGGTAAGCTTTGAGCCCTGTGAACAGAGGAAATTCGACACCAGCATTGTAACAGCCATGTGGATCCAAGACAGCCACGCCAAACAATGCTGCCGACGCGGAAGTCAGGCTCCAGGAAGAGGTAGGAGGACGCACATCCGAGCTGGGTAGCCCTCCCCCAGATATAGCTTTGCATGGCACTGCCCAGTAATCAAGGTGGAATAGAATGATTGCTCCAACCTGATCTCACAGAAATACGTGAAAAGACCACGACCTCTTAACACCGCATTCCGTGGTAGCAGCACGTAATGGTTTGAAATTACGTGCCGGATCCACAGAAACAATGCCAATGTAAAGTCAATTAGGATCCTTTTTCGTGGTGTCCACACGGATTCCCTGATTCAACAACATCACGTCAACCTCGTTTTCCTCAATGATATCTTTAACATTCCTGTATACACACAAAAACACGGAAGTGTCCTTGATAACTCACGTGCTGACGTATTGCGGTAAGCGAGTTGTGTCATTTCCGGTGTTTCTGTGACAGTGTCTCTGTACTGCTCTGGTGAATTCTGCTAGCCTGCTTTCTCACCTCAGTTGCTTTAACGCTGCTTTAACGTCTACTTCAAGTCATAACCCACACTGGTTCTGTTTAAGCACTTATAGCTCTCCTTCTTTCTACGACTTTCTCGCTAATCTCTTAGCTGTTGTTTGCACGCTCTTAGCCTTGTTAGCTACTTTAGCTTAGCCATGGCTTCTCCTTCTCCTGCTCTTTCTTGCCCGGTGTGCCAAATGTTCAGTTATGCCTCTGCCTCCTTTAGCGACAGTGGTAATTGTAATAAGTGTAGCTTATTTGCTGCGTTGGAGGCGAGGCTTAGTGAATTAGAAGCGCGGCTCCGCACCATGGAAAACCATTCAGTAGCTGCGGTAGTTAGCCAGCCCCCTGTAGCCGGTGCGGAGCCACATAGCATAGCCTTAGCCTCAGCTAACTGTCCTCCGGTAACTCCCGTTCAGCCGGGAGGTTGGGTTACGGTTCGCCAGAAGCACAGCTCCAAGCAGAAGCCCACGGCTCACCACCAGCCTGTTCACGTTTCCAACCGCTTTTCCCCACTCAGCGACACACCCGCTGAGGATAAAACTCTGGTTATTGGCAGCTCTATTCTGAGGAACGTGAAGTTAGCAACACCAGCGGCCATAGTCAAATGTATCCCTGGGGCCAGAGCGGGCGACATTGAATCAAATTTAAAACTGCTGGCTAAAGCTAAACGTAGATTCAGTAAGATTGTTATTCACGTCGGCGGCAATGACACCCGGTTACGCCAATCGGAGGTCACTAAAATTAATATTGCCTCGGTGTGTGAATATGCAAAAACGATGTCGGACTCCGTAGTTTTCTCTGGACCCCTCCCAAATCTGACCAGTGATGACATGTTTAGCCGCATGTCATCATTTAACCGCTGGCTGTCCAGGTGGTGTCCAGCAAACGATGTGGGTTTTGTTAATAATTGGCAAACTTTCTGGGGAAAACCTGGTCTTATTAGGAGAGACGGCATTCACCCCACTTTGGATGGAGCTGCTCTCATTTCTAGGAACCTGGCAAATTTTATTAGTAATTTAAATCCCTGACAACCCAGAGTTGAGACCAGGACAGAGAGTTGCAGTCCTAAACGCCTCTCTGAGCTTCTAGTTCAGTTACCCAGCCATAGTTTTCATAGTTTTATACAAACGGTGTCTGTCCCCCGACCACCTAAATTATTTAAATCTAAAATTAAACAAAGAGGAGTTGTGCATAACAACCTCATAAAAATTAAAACCTCTTCTGTGACAGAAAGACAAAACAGGAGAATTAAATGCGGACTGTTAAATATCAGGTCTCTATCGTCTAAAGCAGTGTTAGTAAACGAATTAATATCAGATAATCATATTGATTTACTCAGTCTCACTGAAACCTGGCTGTGTCAAGATGAATATGTTAGTCTAAATGAGTCCACTCCTCCCAGTCATAATAATACCCACATTCCTCGAGGCAGCGGCCGAGGAGGGGGAGTTGCAGCCATTTTTAACTCTAGTCTGTTAATCAGCCCTAAACCTAAACTAGATTATAATTCATTTGAAAGCCTCGTTCTTAGTGTTTTACATCCGACCTGGAAAACCTCGCAGCCACTTTTATTTGTTATAGTGTACCGTGCTCCTGGCCCGTATTCTGAATTTGTATCTGAATTCTCAGAGTTTTTATCCAGTTTAGTTCTTAAATCAGATAAAGTTATTATTGTAGGCGATTTTAACATTCATGTCGACGTTGATAATGACTCCCTGGCTACCGCGTTTATCTCATTAATAGACTCCATTGGCTTCAGTCAGGGTGTACATGAACCCACTCACTGTTTTAACCATACCCTCGATCTAGTTCTGACGTATGGAATTGAAATTGATAACCTAAAAGTCTTTCCACAGAATCCCTTGCTATCAGATCATTATCTGATTACTTTTGATTTCTTTTTACTCGATTACACGCCACTCAGCAACAGTTACTATACTAGATGTTTATCAGATAGTGCTGTCACAAAATTTAAGGAAAAGATTACTTCGTCGTTAAATTCAATACCAATACCTTCAGTAACAGAGGTTTCCCGTGCCGACTTTAACCTCTCCCAAATTGATCATTTTGTTGATAGCGCCGTAGGCTCGCTGCGAACAACGCTCGACTCTGTAGCTCCTCTTAAAAAGAAGTTAACAAAGCAAAGAAAGTTTGCTCCTTGGTATAACTCTCAAACCCGTAGGTTAAAACAAATATCGCGAAAATTTGAAAGGAAT